GACAGGTTGGCAAGGTCACAGAGAGGGAGACATCTGACTTGATATCTAAAGGATGAGAATAGCCAACCAACTATGTGAAGATCAAAGAAAAGAGGGGCCCAAGCGGAGGGATCATTAAGTGCCAGATCTGAGGAGGAGCAAGATCATGAGCCTTTACAGCAGAATTGGAAAGCAGTTCCATAAGGCTGGAACATGAATGGTGGAGGGCTGCAGCTAAGATAAGGGAGCTGTTGTTACAGGGCAGGAGCCCTGGCACCTCCTAATAACACTATTATTGATAAAATCCAGACTCTGCAGCTATGTTGTAAGATACATCCCCAGTTTGTTTTTCCTCTCTTTAGTATTATGGGAAGTGTGGAAACTTGCAAGTTCCATTTTGGTAGACTCCCTTCCCAGGAGGATGGTGATGAAAGGCACGTGGAAGGAAGAAGCTGTTGTTTCATCCAGCTTTTTGGTGGGAGCTCAAGAGCGGCAGCGGCATCCCTGACAGAGCAGCACCTGGCTTCACCCAGTGGTGGAAGCTCCTTCCTGATTTCCCCTCTTTTTTCTAACCCTTCCAGCCCTTTCCTCCTTGGGCAACTGTGCCCCATATCTCTGTAAACCATCTCCTGCTTTAAATCTCTGCTTGACATGGTGTAGAGTAGTGCCATCACATAGAATGCTCTGCGATGATAGAAATGGCCTAACTGTGCTGACCAGTACAGCATCTACCCAACAGATGTGACTTCTGAGCTCTTGGAATATGACTAATGTGATTGAGGAACTGAATTTTTAATTTTATTTCATTTCAATAATTTAGATGTAAATAAGCCACATATGGTTAACGATGACTGCACTGGACAGCACAGATCTAGGACAAGTTGTTTTGCTGACAGGACCCTGGCTGATATGGTAGCTGATACGAAAAGTGGTCATGGGAAACTGCCCCTCAAAGATGGGACTGTGGGGTTGTTATATGACCTGACTGGGCTTGAACTCAGTGATGACCTCATTGCCCGTGGAAAACGGGATACTGTGTCATGGAAGAACCCCAACCTCATGGAGATGGCAAGGAGTAACAGGACTCCAAGTTGGCTTGCTGCACTCCAGAGGTGCTGAAAGTAGACAACAAGACTCTAGATCAGAGAAAATGAGTTTATTTCACAGCACTGCAAACAGCAGGAGCTATAGCATGTTACAGCTGGTTTCCTTGCCCCCCTGGCCCCATGGGGCAATGCAGTGGGCCCTGATGGCAGCAACACATGCAGTGAGGTTATACTGTCACTGAGTGGCCCTGTGCCGGGGCTCAGAACCATTTATAGCCAGCAGTCAATAAGCTAGTCTCCTTTCCCTGGGGCATGATCACTTGTACAGTAGTCACATTGTGGTCACCTTACCTACTTAATTGCCTTTGTGACTAGTTGCAGAAATGACTCAGGGTCAGGGCATGGTTAGACCTTGCAGTTTGGCATACTCGACAAAGACGTACAGGGACCCCTGGGGCCCCTGGTGGACTGTCTCTCTCAGTAACCAGTAGTCCATGGCATGCAACAGCAAGAGTTACTTACTTGTAAATACCTGGGACAAAGTGCCTATTGAAGGCAAGTTTTTGGGAGACCATATTGCTTCTAAAATGGACTTTTATGGTGGAAATTCTGATTACAAAGTTTTTGAGATGGGTTGGCTGCTTCTGACTGCACTGGAGAGCTTATTGAAAGAAAATTACAAGCTCAGAGTTTTAAACTTGCAGTTCTAGGCACATTTAGAGAATTGGAGAGCTTCTACTATGGCCCTAAAATAATTTTTTTTACCTATTATAGCTACAGGACTAATGTAATTGAAAATCCAATCCAAACTTGGATCTTGTGGCTACAAAATTATAATGTTGGTAGAATTTACAGCTTCTCCAGGTTTCTTAGATGAAAGGGCATGAATGGAGGTGAACGGGACCCTGAGACTCACAATGGAGACAGCTGGTCTAATGCAGGCAAATAGGAGACTGTGGAATGCCTAAACTTCCTGAACTCAGAAAAAAAAACTTTTTAAAGAAGTTTATGGTCTCTTTTCTATCTACTTACTTTCCTGAGGAAGCATGAGAATGTGACCAGGTTTTTTTAAAAATCAATCTTTGACCCTGGCTGGTGTGGCTCAGCAGATTGAGCACCAACCTGTGAACCAAGGCGTCACCAATTCAATTCCCAGTCAAAGTACATGTCTGGGTTGCAGGCCAGGTTGAGCCCCCAGTGGGAGGTGAGTGAGAGTCAACAACACATTAATGTTTCTCTCCTTCTCTTTCTCCTTCCCTTCCCCTCTCTCTAAAAATAAATTTAAAAAATATTTTTAAAATCAATCTTTACATACAGAAGTGTGTGTGTGAGAGAGAGCCAGAGAGAGACAGAGAGAGACAGAGAGACTGAGAGGGCAGAGAGCACGTGTGTGCATAAAGGCACCTGTTCACCTCAACACCATTCAGGACCCCTTTGAAGACAGAATAGAAATATTCAAACCTCTTTCAAACCTCCAAATCAAATGAGTCTAGATCTCCTAGCACCTTCAAAACACTTTGACTCTATGTCCAGTCCTGCCTGTTAGTACTGGAGGCAGGTATGGTCTGTGTGGAATTAGAGAATTTCTAAACAGAAATCTATCCACCTTGGAAGCATTCACAGCCTCTTGCTAACTCCAATTTCTGTCCTCCTCTTGGGGCCTGTATTTCCCTCTCCCACTTGTTGCATGCTATTTTTATATTTTTACTGAAGTACTCCAATTGCTGGAAGTCTCCCAAGGAAGTAAATCATCATGCTATTGTCTGTGGGGCTGTTTGGGGCTCCACACAACACCCATGGCAGATGTATATTTGTTGCCATTGTAACTTCATCGTAAATTGCAGGGTTCCCTTCACTGATAAGATTTCAATGCAGTAGTGATACTTCAACACTCTACTAATCTGAGTGTGGAACAATGAATAATGTGGGGAACCCTGACCTCAACTCATGGTCTTACAATGTAATGGTAGAGACAGGGTAGGAAAAGACAGTTACAATCCAGGGAGATCAATGCAATGATAGAAAGAAGTGTAAGGTGCTTCAGGATCACTTGAGCTGTGGGTAGGAGGTGGAGAACGAGAAGACATTTTCCTAAACCCTGCCTGGAAGGATGAGGAGGGATTTTCCAGGCAAGGGGGGCAGTGGGGTTGGCAGTGAGCCTGGCACAAGAAAGTAGCACATGAAAAGGCTTGGAGGGTAGAGACAGATGGTCTGTTCAAGAACAGCAGGTCATTCATTTCCAGTGACCAGAATTTGAGGGAAAGGTGACGAAAGATAAAGCTGCACAGATGAGGACAGCCACCTGTTCCGGAAGAGTTTTGAGTGCATGAGTGACATGATTAGTTTTCTCAGTCAGCAATGTCATTCTGGAGAATGACATGGGAGCAGACAGAGTAATTAAGAGGCTGCTGCATTACTCCAGACAGGGGATGTTTGAGGCCTGAAGCAGGGTGGTTAGTGGGGCGGCAGAAGCATGTAACAATTTGAGGGTTATTTAAAAGGTTGCATTGATAGACTTTAGTAACCTATTAGACATGAGGAGTGTGGGAGAGGGAAGGATCAAGGGTGAGCCCAGGCTTTTGGTCTGGCTAGCTGGAAGTACTCAAAAGTGTGAACCAATGAGAACTTCAAGTAAGTGCTCTGGGAATTCAGAAGCTAGCATGACCACAATGCAGGGACGTGGAAGGTGTAGTCAGTGAGCATCTCTGCCTTTAGAGAGGAGGTTAAGTGAATAGATTAAGAAGGAAAATGGGTCAGTGGAAGAGTATGAGGCTTTGGCATCACAGATACATGAGTTCAAATCTCTGCTCTGCCACTAACTTGCTCTGTAGCTCAGACAAAGTTCTTATTCTCTGAGCTTTAGTATCACCATGTGCAAAAATTAAGATAGGGCTAATTTCTATTATCTCTCCAGGGAAAACTCAGTTTGTAAAAGTGTAAGTACTGGACCCATGTTAATTATCACTGTCTTCATGTGCTTCAATTGTGTATATGCAGGGATTCACCGGCTATAATCATCCCAGATAGTTACTGAGTGCTTACAAGAACTCAGACACTGTTTATCAAGACTTACTCAATTTAACAAGCATTGTGTATAGCCAGCATCTAATTTAATCTTTACCATAACTCTATGAGATGGATATCATATTATCATCCCTATTTTACAGGTTAGGGAAATGATATCAAAGACAGGTAAAGAGCTTTGCCTAAGGCCACGCTGCTGTAAGGCCCATCAGTGTAAGTGGTAGAGCTGGGATGGGAACCTGGATCCAACACAGCTATAGTTCTGGGTGCTACGGAGGAGCAAGTAAGACAGAAGATGGTTCCTACCCATCAAGCTCCCATCCTAAGCTGAGGACTCAAAGGCAAGAAATGATATTAAGTCTTGGTGGTGGATGGGTTGTTGGTATTAAGCCATCTGACCCTTCAGTAAGAGAGGTGGGATTGCTACTAATCCATCTAGGGACAAGAGCACGAGGGCAGTGGGCTACCTCGAAGGAATCATTGTCCTACTGGGTCTCCTGACACAGAGGGAAACCTACTGAGCGTGGGCAACTATTTTTGAAGGATTGGGGTCTGGCAAGTTAATCTCACACAATCACAACTATAGAACATTAAATATGAACCGTTTTTTGTGCTCATGCTTTTGAGCCTTTCAGGCTGAGAACAAGCCCAGGAACCTTTGTTAGAGACATCAGCCTGCTGCCCAAGTATTCTGGCAATCATTGTATACAACTATAATAAGTAGCTATCATTTACTAAGCACCAAAAACTTTACATATGTCATCTCATTTAATTTTATAACCATCTAGCAAATTGATAATCGTATTTCCATTTTACAGGTGAAGAAATTGGTGCTCTTAGAGTTATGTGACTTGAAAAGGTCACAAAGTGAGTAAGCGTTAAAAATGATAGCTAACATATATTTAATGTTTACCACGTGCTAGATTCATCCTGGCCCTTTTCTTGTCACAGAATCCGAATTTTGTTCAGATATCCATCCCTCGGGAAAAAGGACTCTATATCCAGTATGACTGGCCAAGCCAATCACAGTGATTCTACTCCTTTTGGTAAGTGATTGGATTAATGGCAGGTTTGTGACCCAGGTCAGGCCAAAGATATGGGAGGGGGCATCAGTGATGAAGTCGAGTATGCAAAGGCTTTGAGAGGAGAGATTGTGTGTTCCATGAGAACACCTGGGAAAGGTTTTCTCACTCCTACCAAAAAAAAAAAAAAAAGGTGACCCCCTGCTGTTGCTGCACAAGGTAGTGTCTGGATGTGATGCCTGGAACCATGGAAGTCGTCATGTGATCAGGAGGAAAGCCAGCTTAGGAAAGCCTACAGTTGGAAGTTGGAAGAGCATGAGGGTAGAAAAAACTTGGAACCTTGATGAACTAATTAACCAATCCTGAAAAGTTCCCTATATCTAGACTGCTTGTTTTATGAGATAATAAATTTTCCTTATTGTTTTATCTATTTTGAGTTTTTGTTTGTTACTTGCAGCTGAGAACATTCTAACTGATACACACATGTACTTTCTCATTTAGTTGTCACCAGCAATCAATGAGAATGGTGTTATTGTCCCTATTTTACATATTAGAAAGTGAAGGCTCAGAGAAATTAGGTAATTTGTCCGAAGTTGCAGAGATAGGAAATGGCAGAAGAGCATTTGAACCTAATTCTGCCTAACTCCAGAACCAGAGTTCTTATCTACATCATACTAAGCAAGACGATGAGAATCGAATCTGGTTTGGCTGGTGCCAAGACCATGGTCTTTCTTCTACATTTTGCTTCCTTCCAATTTCTGGAATGGAATTCCCAGAAACTTGAGTCCGTGATGTTTGGTACTTAACATTTGCTGGCCATTGTTAAGATGAGGAGGATGCAGGGCAGGATGACTGCAAGTGAGAGGGAGCCAGGTACATAAGTTGGCTTGGCCTCAGGACCCCATTACTAGCAGACTTTCCTGCTCCCAGGGCTTGGGGACATCTGTTGAAAGGGAGAACCTGGTGTCCAGTGAAACACAACTGAAATAACTCTCATGCCTTTGTACATGAAAATCCTGTCTTGCCCAGGTATTTATTCCCACTTTTCCAACTGCCTCAGTGGGAAATTACTCAGCATCGTCCCCTGTTAGGGGTGTCAAGAAGATAGATTCCTACCATCAAAGGCAGGATTGGACAAAATCACAACTAAGATCCATTTCTTTGCTAAAGAGTCTAGGATTACATGAGAGGTACAAGGAGACCTTTTTTCTGAATGTACCAAAAAAAAAATCACAGTAATGAGGAACATAATCAGCTTAAATGTTTCTGAGCAACTTGTTTTCACTAGAGCCCGTCTGGGACATGGTGAAACGGATGAACATACATGACCCCTGTTGTCTGAGCTGAGTCTAATGAGAAGGCTGAGGCAGGGGCAACATAATTAAAATGAGGAAACTGTGTCCAGGGTTTAACAAGGAAAACACAATGTGTGGTAGGAACCTCAAGCGAGAAGTGACCCGTGACTGGAGCCATTAAGGACATTGAAGATAGCCTTGAGATGCAATTTGTAGAATGGGTAGTCTTTGAAGAGGTGAGAATAACCAGGGAGAAATGAAATACCAAGGCAAGAAAACTCCTCTGCAGAGAATGGCAAGTATCCTTCTGGCTGAAGTATTTGGTGTTTATAGTGGAAGACAAGCCTAGAAAAGACATTTGGCTTGTCCTTGGAAAGGTTCAACATACAAGGGCAGATAACTTGGTTTGAATTTGGTAGGAAATGAGAAGCCATGAGACTTTTGATCAGAAACATAGCCTACTTAGCATTATGCTTTACTGTGTGTTAATTCAGTAGGTACATGCAGAATTGATGTGGGAAAAGATGAAGGGCAGGGAGATGAATTTAAAGACTTAGCGAATCCCTTCTCCCTGACCACCTAGTGAAGGAACTGCTTTCCAACCAGTGGAGCCCAAGGATCCTGCATACTGCAGAAAGGCAGCTTCAGGGGCCTGGGGAGAAACTCACACCTCACTCTAAGGGTTCCTGCTGGGCTCAAGGCTCCCACACATCACGATGCACACCGCAGAGGTGCTGACAGAGTCAGAGGACTGGATCAGTTACACAGCGGGGAGAGGCCAGACTGCCAAGGACAAGTGCAGAGAATCATCACTGAAGACAAAAGGCCCCGAAGGAGCCCAGGCAGCTCTTTCTCAGCCAGCAGCGGGTTGCTCAGAGTGGGCGTTCCAGGCTTTGAGAAGGCTGGAGGCCTTAGGTACTTGGAAGTGCAGTGTAGTCTCAGGATGTGAGGACAAGGGAAGTTCCTGCAGGATCCAGTAACCCTCTTACTGAGAAGCTGAGCCAGTTCTGCATGATTTCTGGGAGTAGCTCTGTGTTTTAGGCCTGGATCTAGAAGTGGGGGTTGCCCTGCATTTTCTCCAGGCTGTCAATGGCTACAAAGAACTCCTGCTATTAGCTGCCTTTTGGCCACAGACAAGCCCTGTTCTGAGTCCTCTCAATTACTTTCTACTCAATTCATCTCCTCTGTGAGGCTCTGAGAGTCAGTGTTGGCTTCTCTCTGACAAGCTGTGGCCAGACATGTATGCGTTTCTTACCTACACCTTCTTTAAGACCAACATTCCCAGCACATTCCTTCTTGGTCTGAGTACATTGCCATTAGGTTTCATGAAAAGTAAGGTGGAGTCATCACTCTTTGTAAAGCAAACCCTGCAGGTAAGTTAAACAAGGGAAGGGGATAGGTTTAAGAGAAAGTTATAGCTCTCCAACAGATATACTCATTTCTTCGCTTTCACAAAGAAATATGCTATTCCCCATTTTTTGGGATGCCTGGCTCTTGTGGGCTAACCCTCATTTCCCAAGTTTCCACAGACACACAGGTACTAAGAAGTATTCTCCATAAGAATGCAAGTGTAATGGCAAAAGGGTGTGGAGGAGATGAGCAATTTACAAAACACATGTGGCATCTGAGAAGGATAAATAACACTTAGCTCATGTGGGAACAAGAGCCAAGAGTGGCTAGATCTTCTGATCTTTCAGCAAAAGCTGGAGATCCAGAGTTTTATGTGAAATTTCTCAATTTTAAAATGTTGGCACAACAGTTTAATATTTTTCGAGATGACTAAGGAGATGTATTTATTTTTACTTTTTTAAAAATTAATAATTTTATCTTTATTTTTAAATCTTATTTTATTGATTATGCTATTACAGTTGTCCTATTTTTTCCCCTTTGCCACCCTCCACCCAGCACCCCTGACTCCCTCGGGCAATCTACACACCATTGTTCATGTCCAGGGTCATGTATATAAGTTCTTTGGCTACTCCACTTCCTATACTGTACTTTACATCCCCTTGGCTATTCTGTAACTACCTATTTGTACTTTTTAAACTCCTTATTTCTTTACCCATTCCCCTACACACCCCTCCCATCTGATAACCCTCCAAATGATCTCTGTATCTTGATTCTGTTCCTGAGCTTCTTTTTTGCTTAGTTTGTTTTTAGATTCAATTGTTGATAGATATATGTTTATGACACTTTATTGTTCATAGTTTTGATCTTCTTTTTCTTAAAAAATTCCCTTCAACATTTCATATAATAACAATTAGGTAATGATGAACTCCTTTAGTTTTTCTTGTCTGGGAAGCTCTTTATCTGCCCTTCAATTCTAAATGATAGCTTTGCTGGATAGAGCAATCTTGGCTGTAGGTCTCTGCTTTTCATAACTTTGAATATTTCTTGCCAGTTCCTTCAAGCCTGCGAAGTTTCTTTTGAGAAGTCATCTGACAGTCTTATGGAAAATCCCCTGTAGATAACTTCTTTTCTCTTGCTGCTTTTAAGATTTTCTCCTTACCTTTAACTTTTGGCATTTTAATTATGATGTGTCTTGGGCCTTTGCATCCATCTTGTTTGGGACTCTCTGTGCTCCCTGGACTTGCATGTCTATTTTCTTCACCAAATTAGGGAAGTTTTATTTCATTATTTTTTCAAACAGAGTTCCAATTTCTTGCTCTGTCTCTTCTCCTCTGGCACCCTTATAATATGAATGCTGGGACACGTGAAATTGTCCCAGAGGCTGCTTACACTATCCTCATATTTTTGGATTCTCTTTTCTTCTTGTTATTCTGATTTGTTGTTTTTGCTTACATTCCAAATCATTGACTTGATTCCCAGCTTCATCCACTCTACTATTGTTTCCCTGTAAATTGTTCATTATTTCAATTAGTGTACCCTTCATTTCTGACTGGATGTTTTTTATGCTGCTGAGGTCCTCACTAAGTTCCTCGAGCATCGTTATAACCAGTGCTTTGAACTCTGCATCTGATAGATTGCTTATCTCCATTTTGTTTAGTTCTTCTTCTGGAGTTTTGTTCTGTTCTTTCGTTTGGGCCCTGCATCTTTGCCTCCTTATTTTAGCAGCCTCCATGTGTTTGCTTCTATGCATTAGATAGAGCTACTTTGACTCCATGTCTTGGTAGTGTAGCCTAATGTAGTAGGTGTCCTATAGGGTCTAGTAGCACAGCCTCCTGTATCACTCAAACTGGGTACTCGAGGTGTGTGCCCTTTGTGTGAGGTGAGTATACCCTCCTCTTGTAGTTGTGCCTTGGTTGCTGTTGTCAGATCAATAGAAGAGATTTACCCAGGCCAGTCAGCTGCAAGGATTGGCTCTGATCACTTGCCACCAACTTCTGCCCTCTGTGGAGGATCATCTGTGAAGGGGCAGGGTGGTGGTGCTCCGATGTGGTCTGTAGCTATCCACTGGGTGTGAAGGCTCTAGGGTTTTCTGGGTGGTGCAGGCCAAAGTCAGCTCCCATCTGTGTTTTGCCCAGGGCCACCCTGCCTGAGCTATAAAGCAATGTGAAATGGCTGCTACTTGTGCTGAGCTTGAAGATTCCCAAAGAAAGCACATCTCTGGGCCAAATCATTCTAACAACTTATCACCTCTGTTCTACAGATTCAGGTCTCAGCTTTTTAACTTAGAACTCAAGACATTTCTGACCTGTTTTGCTGGTCTCTGTCTGCAATACACATCCTCCTTTCTCTGCCTAAGAATATTTTAAGCAATTTCTCAAAATTTAGATCAAACTATACTGCCTTCTGAAAACTACCTTTTTCTTTGTAATGTTTGATGTTCTTCCTTCTTTCTATGCTCCCACAGTACCCTGAACATACTTCAACGAGACCTCCTACTACACTGTCCTGAAATTTGTGGCTTCCTTTCCTGTTGTACACTAGCTGGAGAATTCCCTGAGAGCAGGACTTTCATAGTCTCTGACTGAGGACCTAGGATAGGAGAGTGGTAAATACACAAAGAAAGTAAAAATAGTTTAATCGCTGGAAAAAAATGAAAATTAAAATAAGATAGCCAGAGGCCTGAACATTTCAAGTAATATGTCCAAGGGGTGATAGCAGGTTATAAACAGAAGACAAACCCAGGAGTCGGGAATCAAGATGATTAAAACAGGTTGGGAAGTG